GGTGTTCAAATAAACGAGAATCAAAATGGTATCGTTAATTAAATAATAATATTTTTGATGAATATAAATTGAATATTATGTCCTTTCATTTATAATTATATACAAAATTTTAATAAGTGTGCATGTTGTGAAATGATATTAAATATTGATGTCATTTGACTTGTATTAAAATAATTAATTCTGAAAATGTATTTCATTTAAACATTAAAATAAAACTTGCATTATCTAATTAAAACAAGGTTAACCGAAGTTAATCGATACAATACGCCTTTCTAGTTAATATCAATAAGCTTTGTGTGATTACTAAAATAATAGCTTTTAATATCATAGTCACTAATTTTTGTATTAAAATTTTATATTACTAGTGTTATGTACTTTTAATAAAATTATAGATTTATACATCACTATTTACGATTTTAAGTTTTATTAATGCATGACCTAAGCTGTTCAAAATTCTAATGTTAATTCTAATAGATTTTTCGTGCAAAAGTTCGAGGGAATGAAGGCCATTACTGAATGCGTGAGGGGGGGGGCGATGCGATTCTATATACCGAGAATAGCATATGTTCTATATGGTCGAGAATTGAGCAAATTGTGAGAGGATCGATTAATGAAAGTGTAAATGTTGCTAAAAATTCCATGTTATCAAAGAATTACGCTGGTGTTTTAACCAGACCAGGTTTACTAAAAGTGTTAGCCAGTTTGCTAAACGACTCCACAATCATTGTCCACAATGTACGTATCGCGTTATGGTGGTGGACATTTACCCCATTTCTTAGCAGTTAATACACGCATTGGTTATCTGTTAAACAGTTTAAATAAAATGTAACCCATTTAATATTTAATATATATTTTATATAAATTATTTTTCTATAGTATACTACAAACGCGTGAATCTGGTCTATACGGGCATTGGTCTGAAAAGGCGTTCAAACATTTGGGAGACATTAATAGTAAACTATTTGATCCCAATATTGATTCAGATCCTGGTACTTATGAATCCATATCATTGAGACATATGTGGGGTTATTTTATATCTATGGCATATGTATAAGTATATCAATTATTATAATTATCTTAGAGTTTGTTATTTTAATTGTAAATGGATTATAAATAAATTAAATAAAAACTGTAAATTCATGCATTAAATTGTATGCTAGTTAATTAATTCTTATTTCATTGCATATAAAATTTTACATTTAAAAAATTGTTATTTACTGCTAAACTATAAAATCCTGTAATGTTTAGAGTAGTTTTAAAGCAATTACTATTCTTGGTATTTAGTGTATTTTACTGGTAATACATTTATAATATAATAAACAATTAGTTTTTGATAATTAAAATAGTTTTGACAACAAGTAAAACAATTATTATAAGCCTATTCATACAAAACAATTTCGATAAAATGTACTGGAAAACATTAAATATGTTTTGTTCAAAAATTATTTTAGTATAATATTACTGAAATATTCATAAACATAAAATATGTCTTACTTTAAATTATTTTTTATTTTATAATATTTTTATTTTCATTAGTTATATCAATATTTTTATTTATCTAAATTAATCATTTTATAATCAACATTAAATAATAGTATTTATTATTGTTAAATGTAAAATATTATAAACAATTAATATATTAATATATTCTGTATGCAACTAATGAATAAAATTTCAATTTAATTTTCTGATATTTTATCGTTACATTTATATAATAAATAATACATACCGTTAGTGTTGCCAACTGTGAACAATATAAAACTGAAGTTTGAATAAAACTAAACGCATTTTCCTGAAATTTCATGAAATGTGAACAAAAATGCAAATATAATTCAAATATAGTCATAATTCAAATTTTCTGGAACATTACTCCAAACAAATTGTTGAATAATTGGCGGACAGTCTTCAGCACGAATACCAAGAAAATATTTCTTAAGAGAAATAATATTGTCAATAATTCGTGTGATTGCAGGCAATAGTGTCAGCCATCGTGTAGTTACGTGTTTAATGAGTGATTGAAATTCATTATCTGTGTATTCATAACATGTCTTCAATTCTGCGACTCGTTTAGCAGAGACAGAGAAATGCGAGTAAACTTTAAGAACAGTTTTGGACATCGAATGGCAGTGTTATTAATGAGTGTTTCATTGTATTGTGTAATACATGGCAATTGCAATTAGCTTTAATTATATATTTATTTTCATTTGTAAAACTTATAGACTGAGTGGTGAATACCGTAATTCACGGACGCGTTATCCCCGGAGTATGCAACCAAATCCTTGTAATCAATTTCATTTGAATGCAGTGATTACATTAGTTTTGTGTGAATATTATCTCACTTTTCATTCGAGTCTTCATAGAAATCGAGAACAAAATTATTAATACCTGAGATAATATCAATGTATTGTATGACAATTGGAAATAACTTTACATTTCCCTTATTTGAAGCGTCACTCGCTATTGATAGCCGTGAATACAACGAGAAGGTGCGACCCATTGTACCACAGATACAGTTCCGAGACTTTGGGCCTCGAGTTCTGGACTCAAGTAGTAATAGGTTTGAGAGCATCGATGAGGTGGTGGCGCGACTTAACGGTGCCATTATTGCCGAAGAGATTACGAGAAAAGTGTTGAACGTCCAGACATTGGCTTGTACCGCCACTCAGGACTGGCAGATAGACTCTGGGTCATTTGTGTCTAACTCATGGGTAGGAAATGTCGTATATTTATTGAGGGTATTCTATGTGTTGGAACCCATACATGAGGAGGAGGTAGGGTTGGCTGGCTTTGTGCCCCAATGTCTGGAAGGGGGTTTGTTTAGGAAACCTAAGTTCGAGTCCCAGTCCTGTCTATTACGGAAGGCCTCAAAATGGTTGTCCGAAAACCCGGAGATTAACTTTTGTAGTGCGATGTCATTGGATGTGAAACTCAAGTCAAGTAAATATTTATTGAATTTTAAAACACTTATAGTTTTGTTAATATTTCTAATAATCTACTCAATAGTGGTATCGATTGACACGAAACGGATGTCCGTCACGCGAGAGACCGGAGATTTCATACGAATCCTTCGCATAGCGTATACCAAACCCCGGGAGTTGTCGGCAGACATACCCATCAGCTCTACACTACCACCGCCTCCGCCCGTATACCTCGAGCACCAGGTGTATGTCTCACATAAAGATTATTCAATGATAAAACATGTGATCAATGATTTCATGGGAAGGGATGAGTGGCGGACAGCACAGGAAACTTACAAATGGCTGCTCTTAAGCTGCGAAACGGTTCCAGTGTTTGCCAACAATGGTCTCAAGACATCGCTGGGAGCTAACAGTGATCAGTCCTTTCAGGCCCTACTGTCCTCTAACCACACACTCTGTAGTTCAGAGTATTATGCCCTAATACTCTACTATGACGTCGGATACTATGGTATCGACCACCTTGGTAATATTAAATTAAACGATACTAACACTGTTAATCAGAACTCCTGTAATCTAATGTGAATATAATTTGTCGCATTTTTGTGATTTAATTTGATTTATTAAATAAATTATTTGATGATTATAAAATACAGAATTTTAAAGATACATTAATTTCTTTTATTGTAAAATTAGTAAAGTGATAAAAGTTTATCATATTTATTATAAATATCTGCAATAGATAACATTATTGCACCTTGTACACTATTTATTGTGTAACCTCTTTTATTTTAATAAACATTATATGAATAACGATTTATTAAAAAGGGTACAATGCGAATTCATTGAGTGCTTAGTAATTATAAGCAAAAGCAGTTCAATCGCTGTTTAGTCATTCAAAGTAATATATTTGTAATGTGTGAGCAAGATAAGATTTCAAACTCTGTATACTTTACATGTGTTTTAAAACTTTAAATGGGTTTTCAATGTATCCTTTTTAATAAATCGTCTCTCATATAGGAATAAATTATTAACATATGTTATATTCACAGAATATTCTGCATGTTTCGTAATTGTATTGATTACAATAACTTGTATCATAACAATATATTACAAAATATTACAATATACAACAGTAATATATTACAGTCACTGTAAGCAACATTAGTAGCGCATGTATGCATCAAACATTATTATTTAGCTAATAAATGAATGAACAGGCACATGTAGTAACTTTAACAATAGTGTTTATTTGCTTGCAGGTGTGCATGTTGTACGAGTTGAAAACTAATATATATTTATACTCTATTAATATATTAGTGATATAATAAGGGAACGGTATCTCAAATATTATGGTAACCTTAACTTATAGACCCGTAGGCTGTCACCGATATCAACGAGATATACCCGATATCTTTGATAGACATGACGACGATGTAGTGACCTTTGACGAGGACCTACCAGCCCCCGAAGACTGTCGGCTAACGTTTGTAGACTTTGCACCGGTATTCAAAAGTTATTGGTGGGGTGTACCTAGAATAAAATACCCGTAATTATATTTAAAGTTTTTATTATAAATTATTTAGCATTCTATCTAGTTTATTAAAATATTTACCACATTACTATTTACAATATAAATTGCAATAGAGTTATGCAATTTAATATGGATTTATTTGAAATAACTCATTTGTTTATTATATAATACATGTCGCTATGAGTTACAGTAGCCTTGGTTAAATAAATCAAAACTAATAAAAGTTATATTACATAACTATAGTAAATGATGATAAGTATTAAAATTAATAATAAATTATTTGTTTTATTTTACAATTAGAGCCATAATAGACTTCGCAAACAATTGGCTACAGAAGCGGGAGGTATGGGGTGTCATATCGTGCGAGACTGTAGGCGCCATAATAAGGGTTAAGTTCTCAAAGGGCGGGACAGTTACCTACAAAAAACTACTGACCACTTACTCTATCAACGATGAAGGCATACTGAGTCAATGGGGAGTATCGTATGACACACTCATCTCAGAGGGAACGGCATGTTTTCGAGTGAAACTGTTGCGTCTATGGGTCCGACCCTTTGATAGCTCGGAGTTCAACGATAAGGTGCGTCCGATTGTACCGCAGATACAGTTCCGCGACTTAGAGCCCCGGATTCTGGACTCAAGTAGTAATAGGTTTGAGAGCATCGATGAGGTGGTGGCGCGACTTAACGGTGCCATTAATGCCGAAGAGATTACGGGAAAGATATTGAATGTACAGACACTGGCCTGTAGTGTCACTCCGGACTGGGAGATGACTCCCAGACCAATGTGTCCGACCCATGGGTTGGTAGGATTGTCTACGTGTTGAGAGTGTTTTACATATTGGGACCCATACATGAGGAGGAGGTAGGTTTGGCTGACTTTGTGCCCCAGTATCTGGAAGGGGGTGTGTTTAGGAAACCTAAGTTCGAGTCCCAGTCCTGTGTATTACGGAAGGCCTCGAAATGGTTGTCCGAAAACCCGGAAATAAACTTTTGTAGTGCGATGTCATTGGATGTGAAACTCAAGTCAAGTAAATATAATTAGTTTTAAAATTATTTTTGAATTTTAATTAATTTAATTACAATTATCTAAATAGTGGTATCGATTGACACGAAACGGATGTCCGTCACGCGAGGGACCGGAGATTTCATACGAATCCTTCGCATAGCGTATACCAAACCCCGGGAGGTGTCCGCAGATATACCCATCAGCTCAACGCTACCACCACCTCCGCCCGTATACCTCGAGCACCGAGTGTTTGTCTTACATAAGGACTATTCGGAAATTAAATATGCAATCAATGACTTCATGGGAAGGGATGAGTGGCTGACAACACAGGAAACGTACAAATGGCTGCTCTTGAGCTGTGAAACGGTTCCCGTGTTTGCCAACAATAGTCTCAAATCAACGCTCGAGAAAAACAGCGATCAGTCCTTTCAGACACTACTGTCCTCTAAGCACACACTCTGTAGTTCAGAGTATTTTGTATTAAAACTTTATTATGACGTCGGATACTATGGTATTGATCACCTTGATACTATTAAATTGGATGATAAAAACACTGCTACTCTGAACTCCTGTAACATAATGTGAATATAATTTGTCGTAGCTTATGTGTTATATTTTGACTTATAAAATAAATTATTTGATGCTTTATAGTTTAATGCAAAAAGTTTATTTATAATAAAAATGAATACTTTTATAACTTCTTAACTAAAACACTTGAGCATTTATAATTTTATAAATTAAATATAACTTTGTGACATGTTTATCATGATTTTATAATACTACTAATAGTTTTAATAGATTTTAAAACTAATTTTATTTGATAGATGATTTACATAATACACAAAGTTTGTGAGTAACATTATCGTTTCTCATTATATAGATAAATATTGATACGGATAAAAAGGCAAATATTATACAAAACAATCCCAACCAAAATCAAATAAGCATGGTTAGAAAAAACTTATACTTATTTCTAACCAAAATTCATACCCAAATAATAGCCAACATATTACAAATAACGTTTGGGTGACACAATTTTCTTTATGATAAACAATGAACATTATATACACACAGAATATTCTGTATTCTTTATAATTGTATTGATTAATATAACTTATATTATAATGTACAGTATTTCACAGTCTATGTAAACGGTTTAATAGCGCATGTATTGTATACATCAAAGCATTATTATTACCCAATACTGTAAATAAATTATCAGGCACGTGTAGTAACTGTAAACACAGTGCTTAGTTATTTGTAAGAGTTTCAATATTATAAGTTAGAAGTGAATGTATATATTATAAACTATTCTTACATTAGCGATATAGTAAGGGAAAGGTACTTCAGATACTATGGTAACATTAGCTTATACCGATAATCAAGTGTGACTCGCGGGGTGTGCCTACAATTAAATACCCGTAATTATATACTATTTAAAGTTTTTATTAAAAAGTAGATTGTTTAGGAAAATATCTAGTTTAAATAATATTAACAACTTGTATATTGCACATGACTTACAATAAATTGCAACATGGTTATGCAATTTTTATATAGATTTTTTAAAATATCTAATTTGTTTATAGTATAATACATGTCGCTATGAGTTACAGTAGCCTTGGTGAAATAAATAAAAACTAATATACGTTATACTAGTATTATATAATTATCGTAAATAATATTAAAGATTACGATTAACATTAAATAACAAATTTATCTTGCTTAATAAATTAATTTTGTTGCATAATTAGAGCCGTAATAGACTTCGCAAACAATTGGCTACAGGAGCGGGAAGTATGGGACGTGATATCGTGCGAGACTGTAGGCGCCATAATAGAGGTCGCGTTTTCAAAGGGCGGGACAGTTACCTACAAAAAACTACTGACCACTTACTCTACCAACAATGAGAGCCCACTGAGACAATGGGCGGACTATTACGACACATTCATCTATGAGAAAACGATATGCTTTCGGGTGAAAATGTTGAGGCTATGGTTGCGACCATTTGATAGCCCGGAGCTCAACGATAAGATGCGTCCGATTGTACCGCAGATACAGTTCCGCGACTTTGAGCCCCGGATTCTGGACTCAAGTAGTAATAGGTTTGAGAGCATCGATGAGGTGGTGGCGCGACTTAACGGT